GGAGGGGAAGGGGAGGGGTGAGGTGGGGGTGGTCTGAGCCCAGCAGGTCTAGAAGGGCCGGGTGCAGTGACTCCTGCCCGTAGTCCCAGCTCTTTGGGAGGCCGAAGCGGGAGGATCTCTTGACAGCAGGGGTTTGAGACCAGCCTGAGCAACACGGTGAGACTCTGGCTCTACAAAATTTAAAAGCTTTTTTTTTTTAATAGAAAGGAAATGAGCCGGGCGTGGTGGCGTGTGCCTATAGTTCCAGCTACTTGGAAGGCTGAGGCGGAAGGACTGCCGGAGCCCGGCAGGTCGAGGCTGCAGTGGCTGTGAGCATGCCACTGCACTCCAGCCTGGGTGACGGAGTGAGACTCCAACTCAAAAAAATAAAAATAATAATAATGATTTTAAAAGAAGGGAAAAAGAGAAAACATGGGTTTGGCATGGTGGCTCACGCCTGTAAGTGTAGCATTTTGGGGAGGCCAAGACCGGAGGATCACTTGCGCCCAGGATCTCAAGACCAGCCTGAGTAACATAGCAAGACCATGTCTCTACTGAAGAAAAAGTAATTAAAGTAAATAAATAAGGAAAAGGAAAACCTAGAAGAAAATCTTCGTAGCCGGGCTCGGTGGCTCAGCCTGTCATTCCGCACTTTGGGAGGCCGAGGCGAGTGGATTACCTGAGCCTACAAGTTCGAGGCCCGCCCAGGCAACTTGGCGAGACCTCGTCTCTACAATAAATCAAAAATGAGCCGGGCGTGGCAGCACATGCCTGTAGTTCCAGCTACTTGGAAGGCTGAGGCGGAAGGATCGCTGGAGCCCAGCAGGTCGAGGCTGCGGTGGCCGGAAACGGCCACTGCACTCCAGTGTGGGCGACAGAGTGAGACTCCAACTCAAAAAAAAGAAAAAAGAAAAAGAAAATCTTCGTGACATTCGTTAATGAGTTCTTGGATATCACACCAAAATCTCAGGCTACAAATCAAAAACAAACAAACGTGACTCTATCACACTGAAAAGCTTCTGCCCAGCAAGAGAAACAGTCAACACAATGAAGAGACAGCCTACGGACTAGGAAGAAAATGTCTACAAACCATATATCTGATAAGAGGTTAGTATTAAAAATTGATAAAGAATTCCTACAGTTCAGCCAGGCGCAGTGGTTCATGCCTGTCATCCCAGCACTTTGGGAGGCCTAGAGGTGAGAGAATTACCTGAGCCCAGAGGCTCCAGGCCAGCCTGGGTAACATGGCAAGACCTCATCTCTACAATAAATCAAAAAGTTATCCAGGTGTGGTGGCACGTGCCTGTAGTTCCAACTACTCGGGAGGCTGAGGCAGAAGGATCACCTGAGCCCAGCAGGTCAAGGCTGTGGTGGCCTTGAGCATGCCACTGCATAACAGCCTGGGCAACAGTGAGACTCCATTTCAAAAAAACTCCTACAACTCAACAGTAAGAAAACATGTCACTCCACTAAAAATGAGCAGAGAATCTTAATATTTGGAGAGTAAGTAGGGGTTTGATGTCAAAGGAGGACAGGAATACCCGTGCCCCGACACCCAACATCATCACAAAATTTGTAAGCATCAGGGGAGGTAAAACCATGGTCTGAGACCCCAGCAGTGTGTTCCAGTCTGCTAAGGTTTGAGCAGCCAGTGTCTTGTGCTGGTTCTGAGCCTGGGTGAGGTCATCAGAGCACTCAACCCTCATATTCAACTGCAGTCACTTATCTCGTATTAGAACCATTTCAAGGGTGATAAAGGACTGGGAACACGTCAGAGAGGTCTTTCTCTTTCAAATCACAGATGGTGCGTTTTCTGTTAGTTTTCTGTTTCTAGATAAGAAGGAGGACCGTGCCGGGCTCGGTGGCTCAGCCTGTCATCCCGCGCCTTTGGGAGGCTGAGGTGAGCGGACTGCCTGAGCCTGTGGGTTCGAGAC